TATCTCAACTGAAAAAGCTGGGCAGGGTGGTACACCCCTGTTGTCCCAGCTACTTGAGAAACGTTGATAGGATTGCAGTACAGGTCAGCAAAAAGCAAGATTATCTGCAAAATAACGAGAGTAAAAACAGGCTGAACATGTAGCTCAAGTGCAAGAGTAACTGCCTAGCAAGTGCAAGGCCATAAACTCAATCCCCAGTACTGTGCTCTCCCCTCAGAAAAGTGATATAAATTAGGATCTGAGGAAAATTTTGATAGGAAGAATTACTTGGATATGCTGGCAACAACTCAAGCAGTTAAATCGTTGTTGCCATAACTATAATGGGTTGTGAGCAGGTAGTCAAATGAAATGAGTTTGAATTGCAAAACTCAATTTCAAAGGAAAAGGAAATGCATTTCCCATGGAAATGGCATTTTTTTCATTTGAAAAAGTTGTTAGCAAAACATGGGGAGGGACATTAAACACTGAAGTGGAGGAAGCCTTTGGCAACTTTGTAACTTTTACTCATTTGATTTTGGGGCTGCTTTTCCTGCTCTTAGTGCAGGGCTCCCAAGGAATTGGTGTCTTCACAGCTGTGATGCTCTAGCAGTGTGCCAAACATAAGCCTTCTCAAAAGCACTGCTCACGTTACCTTCCTTTTTGCCTTGGTTTTCTTTTGCGTCCATCCTCCTGGTCCTTTGTTCAGGCAACCCTGAGAGGGTTTGTCGCCCAGTTTAAGCAGTGTCTTCGCTAGTGTACCTGCTGAGGTGCGGTTTCTCCAACACCAGCACACCTTTGAATTCAATGTTGGGTGAGCTGATCACTTGGCCATTACCCCTTTCGTTTCTTTAAGATTTAATTTTTAGCTTTTGAGTAGAATCTTCATTATTGACACCATGTGTACACGAGAATTAATACTCTGCAACATAAGAATCTGTATTTAAGTATACAATGAAGCTAAAAACCTTAATTAAAAAAAAAAAGACAGATGTTTATGTTTATGTTATGGTGAGGCCAGGCATTGGTAGTGCTCATCTGTGATCCCAGCACTCAGGAGGGGCGAGAGGATCATGAGTTCGAGACCAGTCTAGGCTACAGAGCAAGTTCCAAGACAGCCTGGGTTGCATGGTGAGACACTGCCTCAAAAAAACAAAAAAGATGAGGAAGAAGCAGCTTTGAGCTAGCTGTGGTGATTGGCCTGTAATTCCAGTTCTTGGGAGGCAGATATTATTACAAGTTTGAGGACATCATAGGCTACAGAGTAAGACCTTGTGAAGAAGAGAACAAAGAATAATGTTTTGCGGTGGAGGGTGGGGAGAAGAATGCTACCGTAAGGATTTATATTCAGATTTTTCGTTTTTCTTGGGTATATACGGTAGTGGTGGAATTGGCTGATCATATGTTAACTCTATGTTTAGCTTTTGAGAAAGTGACAGATTGTTTTTCAAAGTATTTTCCCACATATAAAATGAGAGTTCTAGTTTCTCTGAATCTTTTCCAGCTCTTAATGTCTTATTTCTGCCATTTTCACGGATATGGGGGAGGGCATTGTGGGTGTCTGACTTTTTTCTTTCTGGTACTGGAGATTGAACCCAGGATCTTGCACATGGTAGGCAAGTACTTTACCGACTGAGCTATATCCCCAGTATGGTTTTCCATTTCCTAAGTGATTATTTACTTTAAACATCTTTTCATATGCTTCTTAGTCACTTGAATATTCTCTTTCCCTCTTTTTTTTTTTAAATTAACTTTATTTTTTACAGTACTGAGGATTGAACTCAGAGCCTCACAAGCCCTCTACCATTTAAGCATGTCAACATCTAAATATGAGATGTTTTAAAGTACTATTTACAATTTTTTTTTCCTCAGTCTATGGAGTCTTCATTTTCTTGATGTGTCTTTTAAAACACAAAATTTTGGGGCTGTGTGCGTGTAGCTCAGTGGTAGGGCCCTTACCTACCATGTGCTGGAACATGGGTTTGATCCCAGCACCACAAACAGATTTTCTTTTTGAAGTTTAATATAGTCATTTTTGCCTTTCTCACTTACACATTTGGTATCATCTAACAGTGGGCCACAAAGATTTACTAGGTTTCCATAGAAGTGTTTTTTTTTCTCTCTTATAGTTAGATTGATGACTCAACATGAGTTAATTTTTTGTATGTCAGGAAGAGTCTGAACTCATCCTTTCTGTTGATATGTCATTGCTCCAGTACCACTTCTTGAATTGAGCTTTGTATGTGTGTATATATATTTGTGTTTGTGTGTGTTTCTGTCTATCAAACCAAGGACCTCCCAAATGCTTAGCATGCTCTCTAGCCCTGAGCTACACCCCTACCCTAAGTCCTTTCCACATCAGATTGTATTACAACACTTCTCAAAATCTGTAGCCCATAAATGTTAGGGTTTCTTTTTCTCTTAATTTCTATTCCCATTGATATATATGTCCTTATGCCAGTACCACAATATCTTGGTTACTGTACCTTTACACTAAGTTTCATATCTGAGAATCATTGTTGTCTTGTGGTCTTTTTCAAGAGACTTGGCTCTTCTTGTCCTTTTCCTTTTTATATACTGCCTAAGCCATAGCCCAAGCCAGTTGCTTTCTGTGTGTGTGGTGCTGTGGGTCAAACCTAGGGCCTCAAGCATGCTGGGCAATAATTAGCCTGTGTAATTTTGATACATGTTGTGTGAATCTGTAGATTTCAGGAAATGTGGTCATTTCAACAATACTAAATCTTATATATATATATGAGCTTTTTTTTGTTTGTTTGTTTGTTTTTTGAGGAGTAGTGGAGTTTATACTCAGGGCCTTCCATTTAACTATGCAGAAGCTATACCACTTGTGCCACACACCACAGCCCTTTTTGCTTTAGTTCTTTTTCAAAGAGGGCTTCTGTTTTCTTTCCCCATGCTGACCTGAACTTAGATCCTTCAATTTTTTCCTCCTGTGTAACTTGGACCACACTGAGCTTTGTTAGTTGAGATTGGATTTCCCTAACTTCTTTTCCTGGGTTGGCCTCTCACTGCAATCCAAGTTGTGATTAAGCTCAATCAGAATAAATCCTACTTTAGAAGCTGAATATAGTTGTCCTTCTTAACCTTAAATTTCTAGTTGGTTAATTTTTTCTCTAGCTATTGTTATTTTGATTATATTTTAAAGACACTAGAGATCACAAGCTTAATTTATAAAAGATCTTTGGGCAAAGGTAATGGAATATATCATGACAGTGCGGGCAAAATAAGTAGTATACTGTGGAAATGACCTGCCTGTAATATCTCGTATGGGAAAGTATGCAGTATGTGTAGAGAACTCGATTGTCTTCATGTAGTATTAATCTCAGTATATCAGATATTTGACATGAACTTGTATGGTGTGTGTATGAATGGTGTTTGAATAGGAGGAAAACATTTAAGTAGAAGTTGAGAAATCTGGGTGGTTCTTCTATTTTGGTGAAGAGCTTAGTAGTGTGTGTCCAGTTGGGAAATTACTTAAATCTTATTTTCAGATTCTACCTCAGTAAAAATGAGGAAGTGTGGCTGAGTGATAGCCAAAGCCCTAATCAGATCAAAGATTGACTTGGAGTCTCTAAACAGTGGTTTCAATCTTGATTTTCATTGGGATCACTGGATTACTTTAAAATATATTAATACAGTAATGTCTGGGTTTCAGCTCTCTTGAGTTTCTGATTTTTAATTTGCTGACAATAGGCTTCTATTATAGAGATGTGTAAAAACAAACAAAACCTCTCCCCAAGTGATTTTAATTTGTCACAAAATTGCAAGTCACTGCTGTAGACACTTCCAGCTTGATGTCCAGTAACATTTCCAGGGCTTCCATTGTCTTAAAGGATGAAATAGAATGATAGTTAGGGGAATAGCAAGAGTGAGATAATGTGATGATACTTTGAAAAGTAGTCTGATGTGTTAAATTATTGAACCTGAAGGCTCCTATGAAACCATGAAGGTGCTTATCAGTCCTCAATAGCAAATAAAGAAATTGAGTTTAGAGAAATTGAGCTGCCCACAATTGCTGTGCTATTAGATGCCTGGTACCATGCCTGTTAATCCATCTGTAAGGATGGATTGTGGGGTAGATGTGTGGGGTAGATACTCTTAAAGATTTTTAGTGCTTTCCATTATGTTTCTTTGAAATCAGATACTTACTTGCTTAGAAAGATAAATAGAAGGTATTAATCTTAAGTTGGTAGCATATTAACCCTTAAGCTAATGATTTTGAAAAAAATTCCCTTGTATATTTTAAATCACAATTATCTGGCCATCAATTAAAGTAGAAAACAGATTGGCTGAGGGATACTGTGAAGCTGATTGGTAAACTAATTGAATGAAGTAGTAAACTATTGGTGAAACTAACACGGTGATTACTAGAGTCACCACATAAAGTTAGGTGTTCATTTGGTTTATACGCCATCTTCCCCTCATGTGAATGGTGACCAATTCAACTTATGTAGCCCTTCCAACTCTCCCCTATCCCATTTTTTGAAAATCATATTGCAAGAAGTAATTCAAAAACGGTGTTTCGCTTTGCTTTACTATTCTATTCTCATGCTATATGTTGCTTGTGCATCTGGGTAGAATAGTCCTCATTTCTGAGCAGTCACTTCAGACACTCTTGTTCTCGGTGCCTATGGTTCCTCTACCAACCCTTTGTATTCTTGACAATTACTTACTCTTCAGTGAGCGGGCTTTGGAAGTGGTGCCTTGTGGTTGAGTGCCTTGAAGGTTTAATGCTCTCCTTCCTCTCCCTTTAAGAATTAGGGATTTGGGAAAGTGCTGCATATAACTCTTCATTAACCTCACTACGCTTTCAACTTTTGGCTTCCGTGGAAATGTAAGACAGAACTACTATGATATTCTTACCTGTCTTAGAAAAGATAGCTCTGAGAAGTACAAGAAAGATCACCTTCAGAAAGTCTATTTCCTGAAGTAACTAATATTTGTAGAGTAAATATTCAACATTGTCTGTTCCTGTTGGTTCACTGTGCTTTCTCTCCCTTTAGCCCCCCAGGTTCGCCTAATAGTCTTGGCTACTTCCCTACAGCTGCTAATCTTAGCGGTGTCCCTCCACAGCCTGGCACGGTGGTCAGAATGCAGGGCCTGGCCTACAATACTGGAGTTAAGGAAATTCTTAACTTCTTCCAAGGTTACCAGGTCAGTAGCTTGAAGAAGAAAAATACTTAGTGCCCTTATTATTTAAGTTGATTTGCCTAAAGAATGCAGCCAGGAAAGAAATTTATTCTCTGAAACTCATGTATGTGCGTGTGCTAATGAATTTGCTTATGGAAGCAAATAGATTAAGAGTCAATGTTGAGGGACTAATTTCTAATTCATCCTCTTGATGAGAACAGGGCTTTTCCATGCTGTCTTAATTCCTTCCAAATAATCTATTGGTACTTTTTTGAAAGCTCCACTGCCTTGGGAAAGCTCTTTAGGATACACACAGCCAAACAGGTGTTTTCATCGAGAATAGGATTGGTTAAGGAGGAGTTTTCCTTGAAGTGAAATGTCAAATCCTTGATTTAAAAAAAAAGAAAGAAAAAGCACTTAGGTTGGTGCTGAAGCTCAGCTCTTGCCTAGTATTCACAGAGCCCCAGGTTCTATCCCCAGCATTGCCCCCACACCAAGGCACTGTAACCTTGAGTTTAAAGTTGAGTATTCAAAATGTTATTTTTAAAAATATGCCCTTCTAGTCTAAAGTTTGGCCAAAAGGATATTAAGGTCACCAAGAAAAATTTAGAGTTTGCCAGGGACTTGTTTAAAAGTATTTTCAAGTCTGACCAAGAACTCTGACATTTAAAAATAGCTAAGAATATAAATACCTAAAATCATGTGTTCTTTTCAGGAAAAAATAAATTAATAAAATGAAGTTGAATATTTGAAAATCAGAGGCCAGTGCCTAACCAGGGGAAAGAAAAACTGCCTCGGCCTAGTGGAATAGCTCAATTGGTACAGCACCTGCCTAGCAAGCATGAGGCTCTGAGTTCAAATTTCAGTACTGCCACCCAAATATTGCCTAATACATTATGACAGACTCATTTGAGTCCTTAGATTCAGCGGCTAGCATTTGCTTTCGTCAGTTTTCTATTACTGCCTGTGTCTATCAGTTGTTTTCTGACTTAAGCTAAAGAGTGAGATTTTTTTTTAGAAAAATCTTTGTAACAGTGAACGAATTCTGTTCATTGCCAACTCATCTGAGCAGATGACCTAAAGTGAAAATTCTTTCCTGCAATATCTAAAAATAAGTAATTTGCAGCCCTTTTATTGTGTTCCTGGTAGAAATTGTCCTTCTTCCTGGAGCTTGAGTGAAGTTAGCTTGAGGGTTGAGAGTTGAGGAGATGTTTTAGGAAGAGTAATGAAATCCTGAAATAACCTTGAATGTTTGAAGCATGGTGTGTAAGGGTTGTGTCTGCATAGGATACTTCACAGTTAAAATTAGTTTATGAGATTCTTGACCTTGAGTCATGGGGAAATTATCTCTGACTAAGCCAGTGCCCAAACCTTCAAGTTACTATATCGTTTTAAGGGCTTTTAACATGCAAAGGATATTTTCTGTCTCGTGAAAAGCTGAATGAAGGAAGACACAAATTATCTTTTGTCACTGCCTGTCTTAGCACACTTCTTAATCTAGAAGAGGATTTATCCCCCACCAGGAGGATAAATATATCCTCCCCTGAGGAGAGATAAAGGAGAATGATGGAGGGGATGAATTCACCTACAATATATTGAAAGAACTTTTGTAAATGTCACAATGTACAACAATAATATAATCAAAGAATAATATAAAACAATATAATAAAAGAAAAACAGAAGTAAGACTCTTATTCTTTCTAAAAGTAAGTTTTTCAGATGTCAGTAGATATTTTTAATCTTCCCTAAACAATTATGTTGCCTTTGGAGGACCTTGAAAGGTCCTTCCAAACTTCATATCTGATTGATTAGAAATTTTACTGGAAGTTTATTGAAAATTCTGCTTAATCTCATGAAGAAAGCATTTTGACTTTTGTATTTTCCCATTGTAGGACATCTAAGGAAAGTTTCAAGTTTACTGGTCAGCTGGGTTAATTTCTTTTTAGTTTTGACTTAATTATGTTCATACCAAATTTAAGCAGTCTTTCACAAAAATTAGTAACGAAATTAAGCAAAATTGCTCTTATGTAAAGAGTACTGTTGCTGGCATTTATGGGTATTTATTTTACCACAAACACATAAGAGGCACAAGGATTCTAGGTTTATGACTAAAATAACTGACAAGCTTCAAAAGTGAGGTAAAATAATATCGATGACAATTATTTAGTATCTTCCAGAGTCATTCAAGGTTGTAGTAATATTATCTGGTATAATCAAGCCCAAAGATTGTTGAAAATTATTTCATCTCAAGATAGTTGGTCTTTTCTTTCTTTCTTTCTTTTTTTTTTTGTATTGGGTATTTTCAAGACAGGATCTCTCAAACTGTTTGCCCATACTGGCTTTGAACTGCTGTCCTCTGATTTCTGCCTCCTGAGTAGCTATCTATTAGGTGTGTGTCGCCAGTGCCCAGCTGGCCTTCATTTTTGAAGTGCTTGGAATTTATAAACTGGATCAGCGAGTTAGAATCTCAATTACCCAATTTCATATATTAAATTATTCCAATATGTGCATTTAGTAATTTAAGCTACAAGGCATGCATTCAAAATCTTTATACCTGACCTAATTTCTTATTCTTACAGATAAAGCTCATATTTCATATGTCTTTAAGAGTTCTTGCCTTCTTATTTATATTTTCTATTCTCAGTTATTCATGTAACAGCTAGTCACTATGGGGTTCTAGATTCATTAGATTTGACTTTGTCACAAAATAGCAAAGTCAGTGGGTTGGCTTCTTTATTTTGGTGGTACTGGGACTTGAACTCAGGACTTCTTGCTTGCTAGGCAGGTGTTCTACCACTTGAGCCACTTCTCCAGCCCTGTTTTGTGTTGGGTATTTTTGAGATAGTGTTTCTTGAACTATTTGCCTGGACTGGTTTTGAACTGTGATCCTCCTGATCTCTGCCTCCTAAATAGCTAGGATTAGGGTGTGATCAGGGTGGCTTCTTAAAAACTATTCACTTATGTGCATTCTTTGTCTATCTTTATAGTGCATTTATTGCTATAAATGCTAGTTTAATGGGAGGTTTTATTTATTTATGGTTATTTGTCATTAGTTTTATCTATCATAATAGTTATATTGACATAAGCAAATACTCAGGACATAATTGGTTGAGTAGATGAAAATTTTTGATGGTCTCTGATTCTCTGCTTTAAAACAGTGTAGAACTGGATATAATAATAGCATATGTCTCTTCATAAATACATTGTCCTCAGATATTTTTTGGATGTATTTCCTCCCCTACCTTCAGCAAAATTCCTTTCATAAAACTACTCCAACTTTGTTTTCTATACTTCATTTAGGATGGGGGGGAATGTAAAGGCAGAAAGAGTGAGGATTTTGACAGTTAAAGCAGAATATAGAGCATAAGTTCTGCTATCAAATCTGCCATCCTAGCTGGGCATGGAAGTGCACATCAGTAATTCCAGCACTCAGGAGGTACTAAGACCCTGTCTTAAAGTAAACAAAAATCAAAATCTGAGATACCTGAGTTAGGTCTACTCTAATAGAGTTCCATTCATTCAATAGAATGAGCACAGAATTTATGAAGATGAACTACTTTGAAAATATTTAGCAATTAGGGTCAATAAAACAACTGTGCATTTGTTAGTTGATGAGCCTCTTGTTCTGAAATGGACTTTCAGATATCCTTACATATTTCTTTTAACTCTTTCCATTTGTTCTTTATATTACCCTTTTCTGTCAATTGCTTTACATTTCAATATATGCTGGTTTTTGTTTCTCCTTAGTGTTCTGAGTTTAATCAGTGTGTCTGTGGATGACTCAGTACTGAGATTTTTACTTGGTACTCAACTGAGAGAGTTGGATTGATATTTCAAGTATATCTAATACCATTTAAAGTCACAGAGTGTTGAATGATACGGAGTAATTTGGCTTACTGTAAAATGCTGTACAAACAATTGCTGCTCAAACGTGTGATATCTAATCATAGTTAGGATATCATGGGAACTGTACTGTTAACCAGATCTTGAAGGTTTGGTCTCCTGAATTATTGTGGTCAGGTGCTCTTTGTTTTTGTTTTTGTTTTGTTTTGTTTTAAAATCATGTGTTCAATCTAACTTCCCTCTTAGAAGGGATTTTGATGGTATTTTTACGTTAACTAAGAAATGAAGATTGGGAATTAGCACTTTTGTGTGAGGTATGTTCCAGTGTTTGTTTTCTACAGTCTAAATGTCATGTGCTTTTTCTTGGTAGATATGTTTAGTTGAAATACCATCCATAGTGACAGCTTGTCCATCTTTTGATCCTGTTTGTTTTAATTTGCATTTTAGTATGCAACCGAGGATGGACTTGTACACACAAATGACCAGGCCAGGACTCTACCCAAAGAATGGGTTTGTATTTAAGGGCCCCAGCAGTTAGACCATCCTCAGAAAAGAAGGTAAGGCTTCATGACATGCAAGCTCAATCATAAAAGGGCAAAGGAAGTAGGCTAAGACTCTGAAGGTGTTTTAGGTATCAGAGGACAGGCTCCATTTTTTTCTTTAGTGTAATATAAGTGTCAAAAAACCTGGAAGGAAAATCCGTCAGAACAAAGACTGGTGAAGTGGTTCAAGGTATAGGCCCTGAGTTCCAGCCCCAGTACTCCCCACCCCCCAAAAAATGGAAGGAATGGAGACTTAATTCAAGTTTATCAACTAACAAAATGGTGCATAAGCAACATCTATGAATCAGAGTTGTATGTTATTTTGTGTAAGGGGAACCTTCTCTATTTGGACATTGATTTACTGTATCATATAGAACATAGGTTGGATGTGCTTTTTAAGACATGTTCTAAAATTTGAAATTCTCATAATGTAAAATTAACCGTTTAAAAGTGTACTGCGTGGCGCAGTCTGTGAGATTCTGGTGGATTAGAGCCTGTAAGTTCATTAAGTTGCAGACATAATTAAGATTTCACCAGGAGTCCACATTACAGAGTGTCCTCTCTCCTTTATATCTTCTGGCTTGTGTTAGTTTCTCAGTCTTTCCTTGTTTTTAAAGAGCATGCCACTTTTCAAGTATA